CTAGAACTAAATGTATCAAAATCTTTTCCTTAACAAGCCGAAGACCTCCTTCTAAACACCCAAAAACTCCATTTTCCTTCAATTCCTATTATGGAATATCAATACCCTCATTCAAAAACTTTATTTATAATAATAAAAAACCATGGGTTTAAGAAAATAGAATTATATGCATTATTCATTAAAAATTTATACAACCATTTAAAATCAATAAAAAATATCATAGTTACAAAAAAAGCATTGATCACATTTTTGCAATTGTCATTAAATTATTTGTAAAAAATAGAATATTTAAAATATATCTTTAAAGGATTTGATAACAGTAAATTTTTTTATATATATCCGTAACAAATAATACGTTATAATAGCTTGAACATCGCTACAAATTTCCTGTTTAGACATCAATGATAAATTTAAATTGGCTTAATCAACTTATATTTCTTGTTAGTTCATATTTCTGGGAATGCTAATTCAACATTTATAGCTTTATATGATTGTCTGATCACCAAAACAGAGCTCCAGAAAACTTGTAGCGTAAACTCAGATTCCGTAATATATGAATCAACACTTTCAGATTCCATCGAAGTTAATGTCGCAGTAATGAGATAAACTGTGTGAAAAGACAGGTTCAGGGAATATTGGAAAGTAAACATTTAGATTCCAAATGATTAATACTCAATTAGAATAAAATTTAGTTTCTTTGAGCTTCTTGATGTCGGTAGCAGAAATTTTCTAAATGTAATCCTAAAAGCAATTTCTAGTTAAGGGAACTTATCGGCCTTTTTATGAACCTCAACTCATCTTCAAGAACCCAATTATTGCAGGCTCTTTATTTTCTTTTTTTTTTTTACAATCGTTTTCTACTCTAATTTAGCCTTTCTAAGATTTCTAAACTGGTTGCTAGTGCATCCATAGAGACCTATGCCCATATTCAAATTTGATAAAATGGGTTCCATGGAAATGCCCGAAGCAATTCCTTGAGAAGAAATCTTAGCTAAATAAGAGTTAAGAGCAAAAGACAAAATAGGAGATAAATATTCAGTGGATAAACTATTCTTCTCCTTATTCCCTTTGGCAAAGATTTTCCTTCGTTTATCTATGTAATTTACGTAATTAGCCATGCTGGTGATGAAATTTTGATGAGATCTTCTCCTCCTGATATCGGTGTAGTCCTTTCTTAGATGAAAATCTAAAGCTTATTAGTGGTGATTGAAGGGCTGATACCCAGCTTATTTCGCTCACAACGATATTTTTTTCATAAGGATGACCATTTATCTTGTAGTGTTATCTTGTAGTGTTTTCAGTTATTTGTTCTTTTTGCTTGATAGCGGCTGGTTATGCTGCTACAACTTTGTGAATTATAAATCACATAACTATAGAGCGACTTAAAGGTAGAATGATCAAGCATCCTGACAATATTATTATAAGAAATTTATACTAAGTAGGTATGTTTGGTTTGAAGGAAATGCAAATGTATTCTGTTTCGGAATTACATATTAGGTTTTTAGTTCCAATGAAATAAGTAATTGAATTTATCGAAAAAAGAAAAAAAAAAGGTAAAATGCATTTTCCATTAACAATTCCTTACATAACCCTCGAAAAATTGAGATCAAAATCTATTGTGCCATCATTCTGTTTCATATGTTTTGTACTTCGAAGAAATAAAAACTAAATTTCTCATAACCCAAAATATAAAAAAAAATTATTTTACTTAATTTCTCCTCGGCCACAAAAAGGTTGAGTTTAATTTCAACTAATTTTCTTTCCGTTTAGTTTTCTCTCTTTCAATTTATTTGAACTAAATAAGGTCTTAAAAGTATGACGCTTGATGACCTTTTCATCAAATCCTTCTAGGCATCTAGTGTTTGTTGATGTTGTAACAAGAGTTTCCATAATACACTGCAAAAAAAATCATCATGATCAAGAAAGATACACCAGAAGCAGACAAAAAAAAGAAGATAACATGTAGCCACAAAGACTTTAAGGTTTATGCGGGTTGGCATCAACCAAACATTTATTTACTAGAAGGGAAACTAAATTTGATCCTTTAACAAAACTACAGCCACAATCATTGTGCACAAATCAAGAGCAATTATCAAAACATGTTTAAATCACAAATCACCCAAACACCACGAAGAAGAACAAGAAACCCAAAAAATATTGTAATGCAAAGATTACCTGACACACAAGAAAACTTTATTCATGCATGCACCACTAAAGCTTCGTTTGGGATGGCTTTTTTATTGCTTTTTAAAGTAGCTCTCTTATACAAAATTTTTAATTTTTGTACTAGAAATTTGTTTTAAGAAGCAAGAAGAAAGCCGTCCCAAACGAAACCTAAGACTCGTATGTCTTCCAAGAACCTTATCAGTGGAGAGGGTACGTAAGAAATGACGTAGATTTCCAAAATCAAGATGCTTCTCTATTTAATTGCATGCATAAATCTAGATGAACACCATTATATAGATAGAGAGTTGAATGCATCCCTATATACTGCTTGAAGTAAATCTGATTTATCCCAAAATTAGCAATAATCACCTCTGTAATCAATTGGAAAATTTGATGCCAAGGATCGAAGCGTGAGACCAATATTTATGATTTCCCAATAACAAAAGTTTGTGTGAATCCCATTTCTAGTGATTTTCCCAAATCTAAATTTATGCAAGGGTAAATTTTCAAAAATTTTGTAAAAAATCATTAAGCAATAGAACGATGCTTTTGTCTCCTACTCTCCAAGATGAGTACTCTAAGCTTCCCTGAAGGGCTCAATATCTTGTAATGTCATTAGGTTTAAAGTTTTCCTAAGCTGGTCTTTATATATAACTAAAAGCCTCTTTGACTGCCAAAAAAAAGGCCTCTTTGCTAAATTTCATAAAAGTAGAGGCTCTATTATTTTTCAAAGCATGAAGGCATGCCTATTAAATCATATTTGAATGAGTTTAGTTCAATCATTCAAGATTTGAATATTATTGATGAGATTATTGATATTGAAGAACAAGCCTTATTATAATTATGCTCTTTTCCTCTCCCTTACAATTACTTTTGAGACACTATGTTATATGGTTGTAATGTAATAAGCTTAGCATATGCTAAGAAGTTAGGGAAGTGATAACCCAATTGAAGGTCGATTGCAAGTTAATAGAGGTAATCATGTGAGGAAGGGGTTCTATTCTAATAATGGTAAGAGAAAATTTTAGAATGAATGTAAAATGACTACCTTCTTCTATTCTGATAAGAAAATGCACAAAAAGGATTTATTTTGCTTTGAAGAAGAGAAATCAAGAAGCAAATAATGACCATAAAAACGTTAAATCAACCGATGTAAGTACTTTTACAGATTTTTCTAGTTATAAATTTAGTGATTATTTTGGGTGATTGAAAATAAAATGTAAAAGTAGTAGATTTTGGACTCAATTTAATTTAATTACATGTTCAACTATAGATTTGTTTTTCACATGCAAGCTATGCTTACATGAGTAATGGGGCCATGTGCAAAATTATAGGTTATGGCACCATAAAGTTTCATGTTAGCATAACTATGTTTTTTGCTAGAGTCATATCTGTGCCATATTTAAAGATGATTTTAATATCCTTAATTTCTTTTAGTATTACTTGATATATCTTCTCTAGTGATGTTAATACCCTTTTTATCTAGATGGGTGCATTGGTTGTCTTACTGATGAATAGAATTAGTGAACTTTTTGTTGTATAATGCAATGTCTTGTGTTAGATTCAATTATAGTGGTAGCTCATCAAAGTAAAAATGATACTTAGTATATGACATAAAATGGGACCTACTATGAAATTTATTAGTAATAATTAATAAAAAATACTGCAAAATATTTTTTTGCTACTAAGAGCTTCGAAAGGCATATGGGTATTACATGATAGGAAAAAGTTCAAAATAAAAGAACAACATAGTAATATGACTAAGTCTAACAAATTTGTAAATTGAGGTATTGTACTGCCTTAGTTACCTTCATGAATGCTGACATGGAGGTGCCATATAGAGATTTGTTCAAATATAATTATTCAAAATTAGACTCCATGTGAAAGATTATTTAGCATGGCGTCTTAATTTCAATAATTATTTTAGATTTGATTTGATCTTAATTTTTTATAATTGGTGGGCTACCATAAAGTCAAAATATATGCTACTAAAAAATCTTAAATGGAGGCTTTCAAAAATTCCTAAATGGAGATTATTATAAAATTTGAAAGAAGGTTACCACAAAAGTCTACAAATGAGGCTACAAAAGCCTTTGGGTTGATTATTAATTTATGGGAGCTCTTTTGCTAGTTTTATTTTAATTGTACAGTGTTAAATCACATATATTTATCTTTTCCTCTATCCACTATTTGAAAATTGCCACTCTCCCTATTAGCTAATGTCTCCTTATTCCTCATACTAGATCCTTCTTTTCCCTACTTGTGATGTCACCCATTCCTATTGGATTTGTTTGTTTGACTAATTTCAGTGCTTTTATTGATTATGACATTCATTGCGGTTTCTTTTAGGGTCCCAAGTTCTTTTTGCACCTATTGTATTTGTATCTCCTTGTGTTCATTCATTTTCTTGAGTTGTATTGTTTTGCTTTAGGTTTTTCCTCTTAGAGCTTATGTTTTTTTCTCTTAATGCTTGTAATTCTATCTAGCATTTTGTTTTATTCATCAATATATTTAAACATAGGCTCTCAATTTTCTCTCTCTCTCTCTCTCTCTCTCTCTCTCTCTCTCTCTCTCTTATATATGTGTGTGTGTGTTTGTATGACACTTGTATATCCTTGACGTAACATGAGTTGTAGCTACAACTTTAGAATATCCAATGCAAAATCTGTGATGTCGCCTCCTTAAAATTTCTATGATTTAACAAAACACATTTGAATTCCAATTGAAAAAATGCATCAAGTTGGAATATCAAAATATATCTTAATTTCCACTTTCTTTTGCATTTATTAAACTGTAGCATACATTTGATAATGCTGATTTACTCTGCATTGTAGGTCGAGGAGCCTGTTGAGGTCTACCATGACAAGTTTTTCAGGTCCCGAACTTGGTACTTCGCCAATTACAATTTCACTGTTGGTGTCATCTGGGCTCCATTCTTAGTCAAGGCTGAGTTATTTGAGGATGATGAAGGCAAATCAAAATCTGATGTTGAGCTTCACCTTGACATCCTTGAAGATAAATGGACTAGCCAATACAATAAATATGATTATGTGATCTTCTCTGGTGGGCAATGGTTTCTTAAATCAATGATCATTTGGTTGAATAACACAATTGTTGGCTGCCACAATTGCAAAAACAACAACTTAAAGGAGCTAGGCATCGATTGCCCTTACCACAAAGCTCTCCAAACGGTTTTCGAGTTCATGATCTCTTCTGATCACAAGCCTCTCATCTTCTTTAGGACATGGACGCCAGATCACTTTGAGTATGGAGAGTGGTTTAGTGGAGGGGTATGCAATAGAACTACTCCATATAGTGAGGGACAATACAAAGGAAAGCCAATAGACCATGTGATGAGAACAATTGAAATTCAGGAGTTTGAGAAGGCTGTAAGTATGGCTTCACAGACTGGTGCTCGTCTAAAACTATTAGATACTTTTCATCTTTCTGTTTTAAGACCTGATGGGCATCCAGGTCCTTACAGAACTTATCATCCCTTTGGTAAGGATAAGATTGCTAAAGTTCAAAATGACTGCCTTCATTGGTGCTTGCCAGGGCCTATCGATACATGGAATGAATTGATTGCGAAGATTCTTGTTGATGAAAGAGATATAAGCTCTAATTGATTGAGATTATATCAGACTGTTACATCTGCTATGTAAAATGGTGCTTGATATCTTTTACCTCTGCATATGCCAGTTCTTCTTTGTCCTTGCCTTCAAGCATATAGTGATATATTTATATTTCCACTACTTTTTCAAGTCGATTTGTCATGTTCTGTTATCGTACTATTGTTGGTTAAGAAATAAAATATGTTGCTTTTCCATGATAAGAGATTTAACTTTCTAATTTCTTGGTATTCATTTTTCCTCCATCTTCATAATGTTAATGTGTTTCGCCATATTTTTTTTTTCTTGAGAAACACCTGTGTAGGCTCATGTCTTAACCAGCATGAGAGATTGGTATTATGGCAGACGCAAAGTCTCTACCACTCTTACGAATGTTTCATGATAGATGAAAGTCTTTAGCAGTGCTTAAGATTTATTTTCTATACAAGTTTTGATGAAGGAAACTGATATTTCTGAGCATGCTTGTAAGTTTATCGAAGGAAAATTATTTGGGCTAATTTTATTAGTTGTAGATAAACATTTGGTTTTCGAAATCGATGATAGAAAATAGATGATTAAATGTGTTAGAATCAAATCATCAAAATTTAATACTATTATTGTGTATACTCATATATGTACATATGTGGCTTTGATATCTCCCTAACAGGTTTGGATAGAAGAACTATGACTTAATAGGTACGTTCCAATTATAAGATTTTGGCTAGAATAATCACCTCTTTACGGTACTCACCAACCAATGGATGTGATTCTTTGAAGTTAAACAAGTCAAAGTTTTGTCCCTACCAGGAGATTCAAGGAACTCTTACAGAACCAAGGACTCCCTAAAGCTACTCACCCTTGAAAGATCCTTGGCTAGCGAGAGACGAGAGAGAGATAGAGTAGAAGCCAGAAGAAAGGAGAAAGGAAAAGTATATTTTTCTTATCGCAGAACGTTGTACATGATGGCTATTTATAGATAGCTATGAGGTAAAGAATACAAGAAATAGATAATAGAAAGGACACGTCAGCAGATGACGTGTATGTGCTCTAATATTCCCCCTCAAGTTGAGCATCCGTAGGTTGGATGGTTAACTTGTGACGTAGATTGTTGAACCTTGTAATGGAGAGAGGCTTTGTAAGGATGTCCGCTATTTGATCCAGTGAATTGATGTGTGAGATGGTGAGAGCTCGAAACTTGATGTGCTCGCTAATGAAATGATAGTCAATTTCTATGTGTTTCATTCTTGCATGGAAGATAGGATTATTCGCCAGGAAGATGTCATCGAAAAGGAGAGATTGCGGACATAGAGCCGCCGGGATTCTTTCGAGCTCCGCTGCTGTCCGTCTTCGGGTTCTTCATCCACGTGGGGCGGTTCAAAGGAGGCTTCTTCTTCGTCAGTTTTGGAGAATGCGGTGGCGAAGAATGAGCTGGGGAGCAGGCACTTGTGAGAATAGGAGAAGGAGAGGGGTCGACAAAGGAGAGATTGGAGAGAGGATTTGTGACTGGGAAGTGAGATTCTGGGGCGCGAGCAAGTGAGGATAAGTGAACTGTTTTGAGATGTGACGGCCGCGGCGGCGAGATGAAGACCTTTTAAGGTTGTCATGTGAGGAGAAAGTGCTGAAGGCGAAAATGGGAATGGCCGCTGGCAGCTCGCTGGAATGTTTGTAGATATAGAAAGGCCTTAACCCCAACACAATTGAGAAAATTGATGCCATGGTGCACCTCCTAGTCAACATAGAAGGATTTGTTAGGAATATCACTATGCCTTCTTCCTCCCCACCCGCTTCTTCTTGCTTTCTTGTCTAGGTTGTTTTGCAACTTTTATATATGAATCTTGAGCCTCAAGAGAGCTCGATACCTTCAGCTTCATTGGAATGAATTACTTTGCATCTTTATATATCTTTACCTCATGAACTGCAAAGGGTTAAATGTCACCAGATATTCTGAATTCTTCATGCATTGGTGGTGTAGTGTTGATGGGATGATGCCGTACTCATGCAACCAGGGGCGGCCAAGGAGTGCTTTTAAGGCAGTGCCTGCATCAATCACATGAAATTTGACATTTATATGAAGCTCTCCAAATGTAAGATAGAGTGTAAACGATCCTAAGGTCTTCTGCCCCTTCTCATTAAAACCATGTACCATTAGCTTATCTGATCCAATGTGTTCCATATCGAGCCATAGTGATCGTAGTGCTTTCAAGCTCATTAGATTTATAGATGACCCTGGATCGATCAGGATTCGACTAATCATCATCCCATCACTTTCTGCAGTAACATATAGAGGACGATTATGATCTACCATTATGAGCATCATATCTTCTTCAGAAAAAGTGATGAACGGCTCATTACGAGCTTATAGGACCTCTGTCATATTATGCTCAGCAAAATATGTCTCATTTCTTTCGGGATCTTTGAGAGCCTGAATCAGAGTCTCCCGAAGGTCTTTAGACATTACCAAGGCATTGTATATGCTGAGTTGTGCTGGTATTTTTTTCAGATGGGATAAGACATTATAATATATCCCCTTGGTTAAATCATCTTTCTTCTTGGGGTCCCTGAGGATAATATTTTCATTAACAACTATCTCCTTCCCCTTATTTTTGCTAGAAACTTCTTTCTTTGGAGGAGATGGCAATATCTTGCCACTTCTCAACTGCACCTAGGCGACCTCCTCCTGCTCGGACTCATTTAACGGTAATTTTCTTCTGAGTCGGCCATTGTTGCATCTAGGGATTCATCTATTGATTCAGAGTCACCACCCAGGTTTATATGTCCCATCTGCGATGCTATGTCGGGGTCCGACCCATCTTCCTTTGGAAAATATAAGTCCTCTTCCGAGCTATAGTCCAATGATGTTACCATTAGACAGGATTCAACAGTAATTTCCTCAGCATATCTTTCATTTATCATTGCATTTGGTGTCACTGAGATTACTCGACATACTTCTTTGGGAAGGGGATTCTCATCATTTTCTTCGGCTTCATCTATTTTAAGCTCTGACATAAAGTCAGCGAGCTTAGTAGGTCACCTCACAGTTTGGTAGTACTCATCCAAACTATTAATAATCCTTTGAGTTGCAGTCTTTTTCTCTTTATGTTTTTTTAGTTTGGTCGTCTTCTTGGAAGATTTCACCCTTCCAGACTTCGAAGTGCTTGCTTTGTTAGGGAGTTGATTTAGAGTAAAATGTCGCACCACCGGTAGTGCCTTCAAATCTATTATCGGCTGAATAGGAGACCTCCACTTTACACCTAAAACTCCTTCAAGTTACTTCAACATTTTCACAATTTTCTTAGAGACCGCAATCTCCCATTGTTCTTCTTGAGCTGAATTCTTTTCATTTCTTCTTTCTTCAATCGGGGGTACGGAAGAGGATGTAACCACCCGAGTTGATTCTTTCTTGAGATTAGTCAACACATTATCTGATAATGTGATCTCTCTCTTCTGGTATTTTCTTTTGAGCCAATCCTTAAAGACATAACAATCTTTAATAGGATGGCTGACTACTCGATGGTATGGACAATAATTTGGTCACTAGTGTGCATCGACTCTTTGGGCCTCTTGCATTCAGGCAATTCTAAACCTGCTTTCAACACATGTCGAAATAATTTGGTGACACTCTCCCTCTTGAATGAACATTCTTTATTCATTTTTTCCTTGAGGGATGGGAACGTCCTATCACCAGTCCCTATTTTTTGCCTCAGATGTTATCCACCAAACTGATAAGTTTGTGGCTTATCATTGCCCCCGAGTATTAACTTTTGTTGGGGATTAGGATTGTACATTTGTTTATGTTTTTTTTTATATTGCATCGGCTGCTTGCCTTTGTCTACATTATAAATCATATTTTTCCCCTTATCAGCTCTGGAGAAAAATATGGAGTCAGCCTCACCTCTTCTAGTACATGAGGCTTTAGCCTTCTTGGATTTATCCAAGTGGCTTTCTGATCTGGATAAGTTCAGTTTTTCAAACTAAGCCATTGTATCCAGTAAATCTTGAAATGTGGTAATTGTAGTCATGCATAGGAAGAGTTGCATTTTATCATCAATGCTTCCCATTAACAACTACACATCATGTTCTTCTTCGAGCTGCTGCTCATATTTCATGCTCAAATTTCTCTAGCGAGTGATATATTTCATCACTGACTCTTCCCTTTTTCTCTTCTCCAAAGCAAGGTCAGCTATGGTGATCTTCTCTATTGCACTAGCGAATCTTTTTACGAACATAGTTTCTAATTCTACGAAAGTCTTCATAGAATCATTTGATAGTTCTACATACCATTCAAAAGTAGTTGTTGTCAAACTGCTAACGAACTGTTAGAAGAGTAAGGCGGCGTTGCCTTCTGTGTTCTCACAAGTAGCTTTAACTTGTGCTAGGTGCTGCGAGGATTTTTGTTACCATCAAAAGTGTTGACTTTTAGTATTGAATATCTTTTTGGATATGGCACCTGATTATACTCAGCTGGGTACGGGCGACCCTTGCCACCAACTTCTCTGCCTGATCAATGGCTATGATAGCCTCGATCTTCTCGATAATAATTTCTTCCAACTGTGCATCTATCACAGGTTCAGAAGTACTTGCAACATTTTGTGGAGTGGGTTGGCGAACAACATTACAAACTTTGCGATCACCTTCAGGAGCTCCCCATACTTCTGAAACTTGAGGTATCTGTAGGTTTGGAGGATCAGCTGGAGGGTTAGGCATGGCGCCAATAGCAGTAATTCTCTGCATTATCTATACCATTGCCCCCATTTGAGCCATCATTTCATTCATCTTCTCATTTAACTGAGAGATTTCTCTATCTTTGGCTCTCATTTTTCACCTCATTTGTCGTTGCATTTTAGTGAGTGTGACATTTTCAACGTCAAAAGGATTTTCATCTACTTCTTCAACTTCTTCTTCTCCTTGGGAATGGCCATTTCTGCTAGTATCCATCTCTACGGCGACGCCGGTATACTTGTCTAGGTGGCAATTGCCAATGATTGTCATCTTCATTATCATCATAATCGGCGCTATCATCGATGTCTATATGTGTCATCATATAGACAACTTTTATATCCAGAGTGTTATTTATTTATTGTATTTCTTCTTCTAAAATTTCCTCCATGTATTCTTCTATATTTTCTTCCATATTTTCTTCAATGTTATCTTCTATATTTGCTTCCCATTCAATGTATTCTTCTTCCTCGATGTTGTCTTCCCCTTCCATATTTCCTTCTTCTTC